AACAGGGGTATATGAAGGCCCACAGTTCTAAAAATCAGCATGAATTTCTGCATGTCATGTTCCCAATTAGCACACATGCATTCCCATATGTGTGGGCTATTTCTATGTGCTATGTGACTTGAAAAACTACTCTGTGTTTAAATTATCCAGACACATCTAATCAGTGCAGCTTTACTTTAAATATTCAAAATACATAAAATAACAGGGGTATATGAAGGCCCACAGTTCTAAAAATCAGCATGAATTTCTGCATGTCATGTTCCCAATTAGCACACATGCATTCCCATATGTGTGGGCTATTTCTATGTGCTATGTGACTTGAAAAACTACTCTGTGTTTAAATTATCCAGACACATCTAATCAGTGCAGCTTTACTTTAAATATTCAAAATACATAAAATCTTATTTAAAAGGCATATGTCTTGTTGAGTGACAAGTAATATGATGTGTAAGGGTTGGATTTCTATCTTTGCCCCAACAGGCCCACTGAGTAAGGCTCCACTTCTTTCAATGTTTATCTTCATGATTGAAGTATTGACTACCCACATACTTAAAGTTAAGTACAGTATGTGGGTAAGTGTTTGTTCTATCAAGGCTCTAAATAATAAAGCTCTTTTGGGATTCATGCTGCCATAGGAGGTGAGTCTATCAGACAGCCTAAGACAGGGATTTTCAAACTCTGGGTGGTGGATTGTAAAGCATACAAATAGCTGGTCATTAGATGCATGTTTACCTGTGCCTCCACAGTCCTGGGTGATTGCAGCTCCCATTGGCTGTGGATTGCAGTTTCCAGCCACTGGGAGCTGCGGGAAGTAGTGCACACTGGGACACCGCTTCCCACAGCCCCCATTGGCCTAGAGCTGTGATCGCCTGTACCTGTGGAGGTGCAGGTAAACAAAAGCACCTCGCAGCCAGCTAGCAGTTGGCCTTACAAGCTGCGACCCAAAATTTGAAAACTCCTGGTCTAAGAAGGATTGTGCCTAGCAGGGGAGCTGGTGGAATTGCTGGGCCCCTGGAAAAGCACTCACCCTATCTTCCCCTCGCCCTCACCCAAACCTACTGTCTGAGGCGTTGGAGCCTAGTAAATCCTTGAATGAGAGATCTCTAAAAAGAACGTAGCTACACTTTCCCCACCATGTTTTCATTACTTTTCATGGTTTTTCTTTTAATTCCTGATTGAATGGTATCTCTCCTTTAATTTTGAATGTTCTCTCTTTCACTTTTCATGATATTAGCTTCCTAACATTTATTCTATTAATCTAAATATTTGCATGTCAGATTTTTTAAAAGGCTTTATGAAAAATGTGTGTATCTATCATGCATTGAAGTTAAACATACTTGTATTATCTGTGTTTCAATTTTTCAGATTAATCGAGCCCCAAGCTTTGGAACTGACCAAAAAATAGACTATGATGTAAAAAAAGGTGTTCTACTAAATGCACTAAAGCTTCTCAATATAAGGTAAACTTGTATTTTAATCCTCACCCTAACATTCTTTATAGGAGTTTGATGTTTCCTTCCCCTATTTAATGTGGGAGAATCATGTGATATGTGCAGTATTGGAAATTTGTTACCAGTCTTAAATAGGAATAGGAATGGTTAACTGGTAAGGCTCATCCTTAATGGTGAAGCTTTCTGATTCCAGTTAACCGATAGAAGCTGGAACAGTACCCTGCCTGTCACAGGTATGAGGCTGCTTCAGTGTCATGGGGCCAGATGCAGGCAGGGGCTGCTCCTGCCAGCTGGCCTCCATGGCAGGCCAGGATGAGCCCCCTCCCTGCTGCAGCCCTTGTTGCAGCCAATTAAATTAAACAGGATTTTTTATCCCTAATCTTAAATTGTGTGAATGGGAAAGTTCTCTTTTTTACCATTTTTACTATGTGTACATGTCTCAACTTTAATTCACTCCTCATTAGTGTGCATTACCAAAAAAAAAAAAAAATAATGGTTATCATTCTTGATTCTTTTTTTGAATAATTTTTCTCTCAGGCCTCAGAGTGTGGATGGCAAGTGCATTTGGATGGGCACACCGTTGCTTTGGTAGTTTGCTCTGGTGGCAGCATCCTCCACAGCTGTAATCCATTTCTACTAACACCAGAAGAGAGAGTGGGGGAACACTGAAAGAAATGGTGCAGTTTTCAGTTGTAAACCCCAAAGACAGTAATTAAGATCAGTGTTGCACATTGGGTGTTCCACAAAATTAATACAGTACACTTAAAAGGTTAGAATTGTTACAGCCATAAAAATTGTTACCACAGAGTTCACTCTAAAACAGTATTTATTTTTTTATCTTTTCTCTTTAACTATAAGATCTATAACATAGAGTATTTGATAGGAAAAAACAGTGGCTTTCTTTTATAGTGAATGTACCTCTTGTCTCAAAGAGTTGCAAGAGGATATGGCGAGACATAGAAATCCCTATGCCATACCCCATTGATTTCAGTGGGATTCTACACAGCTATAGAGGTCTGACTGCAAGGAGTCCCATTAAATTTACTGGGGTTCTGCATTTCTGCAAGTCCAATTGCATGTTGAGACCTTATCCTATGTGCCAGAAAAATATGCGCAAAATATTTCATCATAAAAAACCTAAGAATTCAACTATATTTATAACAATGCAATGCAGCCTTTGCCTAGTCCCGATTAAAAGATATTGCTTTTCAGATTGATTCTACTCCAGCCCATCATCTGATGAAGGGGGCTTTGCCCACAAAAGCTCATGATGCTATGTATTTTTGTTAGTCTCTAAGACTGTGTCTAGACTACACCTCTCTGTCAACAGAGAGATGTAAATTAGGCACGTCAAAATCGCTAATGAAGCAGGGATTTAAATATCCTGTGCTTCATTAGCATAAACACGGCCGGCGCTTTTTTGGAAACGGAGCTTTTTCAAAAAAAGACAGCAGTCTAGATGCAGAACTGTCTAAAATAAACCCTTTTTTGACAGATCCTGTATTCCTCAAAAAATGAGATTTACAGGATCTATCGAAAAAGAGTTTATTTTCGACAGATCCGCATCTAGAGTGCTGTTTTTTTCCAAAAAGCTCCGTTTCGGAAAAAAGTAGCAGCCATGTTTATTCTAATGAAGCATGCGATATTTAAATCCCTGCTTCATTAGCAATTTCGACGTGCCTAATCTACATATCTCTGTTGACAGAGAGGTGTAGTCTAGACACAGACTAAGGTGCCACAGGACTACTCATTGTTTTTAAAATTACAAACTAAGATGGCTACCCCTCTGAGACAGATTAACTGAGTCATATCTGAATGTTATCTGTATTTTAGGACAAGTGATAAAAGAAAAAACTTAGCCCAACAAAAAGCTGAGGCTCAAAGGAGACTTTATGGTCAAGGCTCAATGAAAAGACTGTCGCCAGGCTCCTCTGACTGGGAAAAACAGCGCCACACGCTAGAGAGGAGACGAGAGGAACTGGTATAAAGGAATTTTACAATGCTATTCCTCTTTCCTTCTCAAGGCTTGTACTCAGTCATTTTTAATGGTCTTTCTTACTTGATTTCTAGAAAGAAAGACTTGTGCAAGTTCGTAAACAGATTTCCAGAGAAGAGCATGAAAACAGACACCTGGGGAACTACAGGTATCTGTGCCCTCCCTCTTCCTGCTTGAGTGGGATGAATCAATCCAGAATTGAATGGTTTATTTAAAGATAATGGAAATTGGTGTTGTGAGGCGAGGATACGTTTTTCTGTGGAAAAATTATTTACAGGAATTTATTTAAGTATTGATGTGCAGTGCACTGGATACTCTTTTCTAATCAAAGCAGTGTGTTTGTATCTGGCATTTATGAAATATCAGTTACATGGTTTCTAGGCATCAACATAATTTACTTGAAAGACTTGGACATAAATGTTTAGCATACCTAGAACAGTGGTTCTCAATTTTTTGCCCGTGGACCACATGGCTCAATATAAACCTTTCCGTGGACAACAGTTGCTAATGAAAATGCACCGTTAATTACATAATTACATCCAAACCATTTTGCTAGTGTTGAAGCTAGGGAGACTGGTTTAATTTAAATTATTAAACAGATTAAGAGCTTTACCTTTCTTGTGTTATTTAAAATGAAGTTTGATAAACTAAGTAAAATATTAATTCATGTCCAACACAAAAGGTAGTAATGTTTTCTTTATTTATGGCAGGTGTGAGGAATCTTTTTTGTAGAAGGGGCCACTGATCCACAGAAAAATCAGTTGGGGACTACCCAAGTGAGAAGCAAAAAAACTCCTCCAAAAAAACCCCAACCTTCACTGATGTGGCCCCCAACTGAGACACCTCACTTCTGTGGTGCCCCAGCCCCATGGCATGAGGGGAAGGGAAGGGACAGGGAGGACTGAGATTCAGGGCTTTCCATAGTCCAGATTTACTTTTTTGGGGTTCCAGAGTTAGTGGATTTTATGGACCCCCTTAGGCTCTGGGGTAGGCACAAAAAATGGGGTTAGGTGTATGGGACAGGGCTGCCAGTGAGTGAGATAGGGATGGGGTGAAGGATCTGGGAGGGAGCTGTGGTGCAGAAGGGGATATGGATGCAAGGTCTGCGTGGGAGGTAGGGTGTAGAAGCAGGCTGGAAGTATAGTGTCTGGCCAGGAGAGAGGGTGCAGAAGTAGACTGGGGATAGCGTGTCTGGCCAGGAGCAGGGAGATGGGGGCAGTGAAAACCGGCACTAAAACCGGGGGGCAGAGTGGCTGTGGAGGTTCAGGGATGGGGGGGCAGGGTGCCCTGGGGAATAGGGCTGGGATCAAAGTTGAAATGGAGGCTTGGGGTGCCACAGCAAGGTGGAGGTGGTCAGCCCTGCAGGGTTGGGGTCCTCCTGTCATCCAGTCCATGGCACCCTCCCCCCGACCGTGTCCCAGTGGGTGCAAAGCTCTGAAGGTCCCTGAGCCCCCGCCTGCCTCCTGCATGTGCAGGGTCCTCAGCCTCAGTGTCGTCTCCTCCCACTGCTGCTGGCCCCTGTGCAGCCCAGCCTGTTGCCGGGGAAAGAGAGGACACCAGCCACTCACACACCACAAGATCCCACCCTGCCAGGCCGAGTCCCGCACAGCCTAACCTGCTGCCAGGGAAGGAGTGGGCGCTGTCCACTCACACATCAGGATAGCCCATCCTGCCTGGCTGAGCCCACTGCAGCTCAACCTGCTGCCTGCCCCGCAGGACCAACCGAAAGATGTGCTACTCTTACTATGGCGGTGGTGCTGCTCCACACGTAGCTCCGTGGCCTGCATGGCAGGGGTGTGTGTTTGCTTTCTTCATACCTGCCTGCTGGTCGGAGCTGGTGTTGCCAACCACAAGGCTGTAGTGGCAGCACGGGCTCCCAGCTGCATGGGAGGGTGAGTTCCCTCTGCGGACCACCTGGGAGGCTGCCTTTGAGAACCACTGACTTAGAAGCATGACTGCAGATAAAGGGCCTGTTCCTACAGCCAGGCAGTACTCCTATTGCTAATGTTTCAAATGAGAACTGTAAGGAACTTAAGATCTGCACTGTCTTCAGATCCCATTCTGTGAATGGATCAGGTTCTAAATCTGTAGGTGCCAGTTTAGTAAGGTACTTAAGCATGTGCCTAACTTCAAGCACATGAGTACCTCCACTGATGTCAGTGGGACTATTTATCTTTAAAGTTTGGTGTGTACTTAAGCAGGGCTGTCCCATCCATAGGATGGTTTGGGGCAGCTTACCTGGGCTCTGTGGTGTGAGGTGCCCTGCTGTCACCATTCCATCCGTCCTATGGATAGGATGTTCCCTCATATTCCTGTTAGCCTGTGGGGTCCTGGGATGGGGCAGATTAGGGGTGAGCTTCCCATGGCTCCCACCGCCTCAGTGAGTTCTCCGCTTCACTGCCATCTCACAGCCGGGTAACTCTGCTTTACTCACTGTCCCTCACAGTGCTTGTAACACCGTGGAGATCCTTCAAGAACAAAGTAAAAGACAGTGAAATTAATATTTGTGACAGTGTGGGAACCTTTTACTAGCTATTTCTCTTGCCTTCTCTGATGCAGTTCTGACTCACATTGAGGGCATCCTGGCCCTCTCTAATTATCCCTAACTGTTGGAGTTCTATGGTTGGTCTTAATTTCTTGTCTGTGACACACACAAAGTGTAGCTGCTGCATGTTTATGAATTATGCTAGGCTTTAATTTGCTTTAGGCCAATGGAGGATTTTCCACTGAGTCTGTGATCACTGAATTTTTATCATAGCATGCAAACTGTACAGGAGTATCTCTGAACCAAAGCTACTTTTTTATGTTAAACTGGGGCTATTAATTACAATTAACTCACACAATTAACTTAAAAAATTATTAGGAGTTCTGTGGCACCTTAGAGATTAACAGATTTATTAGGGTCTCTTTTTCTCTCTCTCACCCACTTTCTTCTTTTGCAATACTAGTACATATATATGATGAAGTGGTATTTACCCACCAAAGCTTATGTCCAAATAAATGCTAGTCTTTAAGGTGCCACAGGGCTCCTCGCTGTTTCTGCAGATACAGACTAACAGAGCTACCCCTCTCAAAAAACATCAGTCACAATTAATCAGAATTTTAATTGTACTCCTAAACAATAAAATGCTAACTGAAATTTATTAAATATTTTGATGCTTTTTTACATTTTCAATTACAACACAATACCAAGTGTACAGTGCTCACTTTATATTATTTTAATTACAAATATCTGACCTGTAAAAATGACAAACAAAAATTAGTATTTTTCAATTTACCTCATACAGTTACTGTAGTGTGTTCTCTTTATCATGAAAGTGGAACTTCAAAAACTAAACAATGTAAAATTTTAGTGCCTACAAGTCCACTCAGTTCCACTTCTCTTTTAGCATCTGTCTACATTGCAAGGGTTCACGATTCCAGAGGTATTATGGAATAGCTACCCCACATCTTTTGCAGGTGTTCACTATTGCAAAATATAGCGGTTATGCTATTTCGGCATCCCTGTAAACCTTGTTCCACAAGGGATAAGGGATGTTTCAAAAGAGTGTGTTATTTTGAAATTTGGTGCTATGTAGACATGCCAAATTTCAAAATAGCCTCTTTTGAAATAGAATCGAAATAAGATACGCAATTTTCTTATTTTATGCTCAAATCTTATTTCGAGCTTAGGGTGCAGTGTAGACACACCGTTCGTCAGTCACTAAGTTCAAACTAGGGATGCAAATACAGACATTTGAAATAGTCAATGAGGTGGGGATTTAAATATCCCGCACTTAATTAGCATGATCTCGCCGGCACGCTAATTCGAATCACAGCTGATTCAAACCAGGAAGTGTGTGCTGGTATGCATTAGTTCGAACCAAGGAGCTTGGTTCGAACTAATGCATACCAGCGCACACTTCCTGGTTTGAATCAGCTGTGATTCGAATTAGCGTGCCGGCGAGATCATGCTAATTAAGTGCGGGATATTTAAATCCCCACCTCATTGACTATTTCAAATGCCTGCATTTGCATCCCTAGTTCGAACTAGGGTGCAAGTGTAGACATACCCTAAGAGAAACAAGTTTATTTACATTTTCAGGAGATAATTCTGCTCAATACTTATTTACTGTGTTACCTGAAAGTGAGAAAAGGTGTTTGCAGGGCACCACCTCAAGGCATTTATGTGCCAGATGTGCTGAACATTCATATGCCCTTTCTGCTTCTGCCACCATTCCAGAGGACATGCTGATGATACTGGTTAAAAAATGTTAGTTAGTTAGTTAATAGTGGGACTCAAATCATTGGGGAGAGTTGTACGTCTCCTGTAAGTTCAACTTTCTTGGTAAAGATATTGTACTACAGTACAGGTTGAACTTCTCTAAACTGGGACTTTCTACTTTGGCAACATCTGTGGTCTGGCACGACCATGGATGTTCCAGGACCAGAGAGTCCCGGTGGAGGACTAGTGGGGCTGGGAACAATGGGGCTGCCTGACAGGGCTAGGAGCCTCGTGCATGGCATCACAGCTGCCTGGTTCAGGCCCAGCCAAAGAGCGTGGGGGGCCCAAGGCAGCACACAGAGCCGCACAGCTCCTGGCCGGGAGCTGGGCAGTGCGGGGCCCTGAATGTGCGGAGCCTGAATGCGCAAGTGCCTTGACCAAAGGCCGAGCCTGCCTGGTGGGACTGGGAAGGGGTGAAGTGGGTGGGGGAGCCATATGGGAAACCAGTAGCCAGGCCAAAGCTGGGGTGGGGGGGGGGCAGTGGCAGAGGGGTCAGAAATGACCTTACCTGGACTGGCAAAATCCCTCATCCAGGACCATTGAGGTCCCAAAGATGCTGGCCCACGGAGGTCCACACTATACTTGATTTAGGTAAACTGAAAAACACTATTTATTTTGTTTATTACAGTGCAAATATTTGTGAGTGAGTGCTGTACACCTTGTATTTTATGTTGTAATTGAAATCAATATATTTGAAATTGTAGAAAACATCCAAACATATTTAAATAAACAGAATACTACTATTGTGTAACAGTACTTAACAATGGAGTTGGTGTTTCCAGCCTATACTTGAGTATGCACACTACATTATAAATGCAGGTCTACAGTTGCTGGACCCGAGTCTCTCTGCTAACACATCCATATTGCACTATGCAAATCTTCTGATTTGGATCTATGGCTTGAGCTGCATCCACACTTCAGAATTGCAGGTCTTGGACCAGAGTTACAGTGGGCCTCACTTTGGACCTATGCCGTGGTCCTGCATGCTTGGTTATCCCAGAGAGAATTACGTTTGGACAGTAGATGGGCTTGGGCTCAAACCTGAATCTGAGCCTGGGTTTACAGTGAAATGTAGACATACCTACTAAAACACGCTAGTTAGGTGATGTCCAGTGAATATACGTTAGCTATTAGTCACTAGGTTTTACAGTTTCTGACTTGTCAGGTTTTCATGACTAGTAGATAATGGATGTTTCTGTTGAGAGCCAGGGTTGTTGGTTTTTTTGTTTGTTTCTTTGTTTTTGGTAAATGGGTATAAATCACTCAGTCCTATTTTTCCATTGTCATAATCTCCCTATCTGCAATCATGAAGAATAATGGTCATAGCTGCTATAGTGGAAAATCTGATTCACTTTTCTCTATCTTTGTTAGGTAATGTTATTCTAATAGTGACTGTTATTATCCACTATGTTGGAAGGATTATTGTGGTAGCACAGTACATCTCTAAGCTTTAATTTATAACAAACCCATAAAAACATAGCAATTAATTTTAGTCCCTTTGTTTTGCTTTGTTTTTAAAATAAAATATTTCATGCCTCTAAAGTATTTTGTTAATGTTTTATGCCTCATTCACATCTGAAGTTGAACTTTCAGGGAGTATTCCAAGACTCGGTCATAATATTTCTGTAGAAGAATCTGCAGTGTATCTTTCTCTCTTTTTCTTTAAATCAGCCAATTGTTTGCCAAGCGTGTATGTGTTCACTGGACTAAAGTTAGAGGGGTCTTAATTACAATATGTATTTTTACTTATAGTTGAAGACTAAATACATTTCCTGAATAATGGATTTTGTGAAATATTTAGTTGCATTTCTTATTTGATCAATTGTTCAATGTTTTTACTCTTGTCTCCATTTCTTTTTTTCCACCCTAATTTCAGGAGAATTTACCCTCCTGATGATAAGCTGTTACTTGAAAAATATGAGACTTTGTTAGCCATTGCTTTCCAGACGTTCCTTGCTGGAAGAGCAGCTTCACTTCAGCGGGAGTTGAATAACCCTTTGAAAAGAATGAAGGTACTAGTGTGCAGAAGTATTGGCTTTAAAGTTATGTATCTTGGAATTTCCTGACCCAGCATGAAGTTTTCAATCAGGTTTGAATCATCTTTGCTCATGTAATAACAACACTCACAATTTTTCTGTAGTTTTATTGTTGTTCTTTATGTAGCTTATTTGCCAAATCCTTGAGTCTGGCTGAGCTGCACTGGGCACAGAACCCAGTGTGGAGATAGAACAGGCTTTAAGCCTCTTTTCTAGTTTCTTGATCCTAATCCTGACCCATCATCAAACCAAACCCTGGCATAAACTCCCATAGATACAATTCTTCCTGTTGCTAATTGCCTTCTTTCTCCCTCAGTAATGCTTGTAGTCTGCTTAAAGATGCCCACTATAATTGGGTGGGACAAGTATCATAAAGCTAGCTCCACAGCTTGGGTAATTCCTGTCTGATCAGTTACATTGCTAGAGGAAGCCATTTGAAAAATGGATGTATTTGAAATGGGCAAGTTATCGTGATTTGTTAGTCGTTGTTCAGATCTGAACAATTATTATAAACTTAATAGGAATGGCCTTTTCAATAACACATCAACCAGCACTGTAAAAGATGATTGTGTCCAACAATTCACTCAAACTATTAGAAAATTATAAAGGTCAAATTCATCTTGCACTCTTGTAAGTACCATTGACTTCCACTGGAGTTGCATACGTCAGAGGAAAGAATTTAATATAAAGATTTTATTATTTTATCAAAATAGTCTCTAGATGCATGAATATCTACTTATGGACACACACAGGCGTTTAGTGATTATTTGAGCAAAAAACCACTTTTAAATCTCAGTTCAAGTGGCCACTTTATCTTTGTAGAAAAGGTAGGCTATGTTTTGAATTGTGATTTTAAACAACATTTTTCATTAATCTTAGACACATCCATTCACATTTTTAGGAGGAAGACATTTTGGATCTTTTGGAGCAATGTGAACTAGATGATGAAAAACTGATGGGAAAATCCCCCAGGCAACGAGGACCCAAGGTGTTTGACCGACTTTTTAAATTAATTTGTGCCAAAGATAATTAGGCAAGGCAGGCAGCAGTGGGTGGGCTGGAAACAAAGTACTTGCACATTGTCTCCCTCCAGCTGAAGAGATGTGGAGGTGAGCTCTCTGTCCCATCTGTGAGGGGCCAAACCATGACTTCAAATGGAATTATAATAGAGGAGCTATGAAAGGAGATTCTTGCAGCAATTTCCTCCCTCAGTGCTCCCTAATATAGGTGTTTTTGGGTTGCAGCAGAGACAAAGATCTGGGCCCAGGAAATTGCCATGTACCCAGTTAAATTCCCAATGCACTCTCAACAGGATATGAAATTATTCTAAGCTGTTTTGAAATGTTGCTATGCATCAAAAACTACTGTTCTACTTTATCCCAGAAATCGTGGTGTTAAAAATGGGGTGTTCTGAGCCTTAATTTATAAAAATCTGTAAAGAACTTTGAGTCGTAGGATGAAAGGCACTCTAGATATTCAAAGTATTAATTATCATTATGATGATGTATGTGTGACCTGGTGCATTGCTAAAAGTGTCATACTACTACAGAAGCTATTTCGTATCCAGAATCAGATTCTATGTGAAAAATGTATTAGTTTCAGTTGTACCTGCTGGTAGTGCACATGATTCATACAAAGCCCATTGCATTAAATTCACCACGTCTTCTGACCTATCAGCAAAGATTAATTACTGTATCATCAAACCTAAATTATTTATTTGCCTACATACTGCAATCCTTCTCACTTATGAAAAGCTTACATTTTAGGTGTTTGATCTCATCTGGATGTGTGTGTGTTAAAGGATAGAAAAGCTTCACAGCATTTTCTGTTCCTCATAATGTTATCTAATGTACAACTCTGGGACTGCACTTCCTTACAAACACTACTGCTAATTATTGACCAGATCTTGTAGTTGAATCTTATACAAGATTGAGTCCATATAGGCAGATCTGTATGCAGGATTGGGACCTAAAAAGGATTGGTGCATACCCAATTGGTATTAAAGGGATTTTCTCACTGGGGATGGATGATTTTAATGCCTCTTAGAAGATGTCTCCCATGCACTGGAAGATTTATTTCTATTGTTGTGGAAAAAAACAGAATGGGTTTAAAGATGGACATATTAGATTTTGCAATTAGGAAACATTTTCTAATAATGAGAAGCACAATTAGGAAATATTTCCTAAAAATTAGAATTACTAAGCAATGGAATAAGTTGTTAAAAAAGTTTGGCCAATCACATTTTCAGACTGGAGAAGGTAACTAATGGTCTATACTGAGACCAATTCTATTCAACTTTACTCAAAACAGTCTGGAGAAAGGGGGAAACAGTGAGGTGGCAAAATTTGCAGATGATACTAAACTGCTCAAGATAGTTGAGACCAAAGCAAACTATGAAGAGCTTCCAAAGGATCTCACCAAACTAGGTGACTGGGCAACACAATGGCAAATGAATTTTAATATTGATAAATGCAAAATAACGCATATGGGGAAACATAATCCCAACTATTTGTACAAAGTGATGGGGACTAAATTAGCTATTGCCACTTGATAGAGTTCTTGTAGTCATTGTGGATAATTCTCTGAAAACATCCACTCTTTGTAGTATTCTGGGAAATAATAAATCTGTTATAACATGTATCCCTGCCATCAGTAAGTAAGCATTAAGTTTACGTCAGTGAAACTTAAAGTGTTTTTTTGCTAAGTATGTTATTAATGTTCCTTTTGGGAAGTGGAGGAATTTACTATACATTTTTTTTATATTAGCCCCTGTGTTCTATGCCAGAAAGTTCACAGACCTTAAAAAAACAGAGGAACTACAGTAGTGAAAGTAGCAGTGACAGTAGCATCACCACCTCAGAATGGGAGGAGGAAACTGAGAAGGAAGATCACAATGAGAAAAAAGAGATGAAAGTGTCATTTGAGCTTGAAGAAAACAAGTATCAAGTATTAGAACGAGCCAGTAAGTGAATGATTATAATTCTGATTAATACAATATACATAAAACCGTATAAGATACTCCTGTGCTGCAGAACATAAGTGACTAATTTATTATGCCTGAAAATTGAAAAACTGTACCTCAACACTAGATTACCTGCCTGGATTCTCAAGCTAACTTTGGCCATGTCTACACTGCATCCCTCCTGTGCAAAAGCCTATGCAAATGAAGTGCAGATTAGCATCTTGCCACACTTCATTTGCATAATTAATTAGGGGCCGTTTTGCACAAGAGGCTTTTGCGCAAAAAAGGAGCCATCTACACAGCTCCTTTTTGCGCAAAAACATCCGCTTGTGCAAGAGCCGTTCTTCCTCATTTTTTCAGGAAGAACAACTCTTGAGCATGGGGGTGTTTTGCTCAAAAAGGAGCTGTGTCGACAGCTCTTTTTGCACAAAAGCCTCTTGCACAAAAACAGCCCCTAATTAATTATGGAAATGAAGTGTGGCAATATGCTAATCTGTGCTTCATTTTCATAGGCTTTTGCACAAGAGGGAGGCAGTGTCAATGTAGCCTCTGAGTCTTCCTCTTTAAAACTCAATCCAAATTTGATAGATTATTTTGATCCTGCTTTTCTATTCATGACTTGCTGCCAGGTTACTACTTACTAAAGAAAAAGATGAGTGTGATCTACCATTGGATTTGTCGTGTATGGTCTTCGTTGTTGCATTATTTCTGGCAAAGTTGCCAATCAAAATTATTCTTTGTTGTTTTTCTGTTGAACATGATTGTTGAGAAATTAGATTTTTTTTTTAATCTAAGAAAGTGCAGAAGGAAAGATTTTTAGATGGGTTACCCTCCAGATGAATAGCAGCTTGACAATGTAACACTGAAGATTAGAGTATTGACGGGCTTTACTGTATATGATTTACTATTTGTGTTTTGTAGTACACATCTTAGAAAGATTGCGTTGAAAGCAGTCCTCTTTGAAGATATCATTTACTATGTGGTAACATTTGCAAATGGTACTGGTTACAAAACTTGTTTGTAACCATCTTATTTTTATTATGGGCCATAGGAGGCTAAAATGTAGAGGATCAGTGTAGTTCCGTGCAGAAAGCTTATGTTCCCTACCCACTTCCAAAAAAATCCTGTGCTCACACTAAGGAAGCACTGCAAACCCACACTCCATCTTACTGAACCACAAGATGTTTGTACTCTTCCACAGATTTGATACATGGGAAAAGATTTGAATGGCAGAAGACTGATTTGAGTGGAAATGGGTACTTTTTTGTTTTATAACTTCCAACTAGACACATTCCCTAGTCAGTAATGATAGAGGAACATACAGTAAATGGATGGAAAGTAATTATATCCTGCATTGTCTTTGTCTTCAGGCAGATTACAAAGGAAACCTTTAATTAAAAATATAAAAACTCCATCATATTCCACATCATCCACAGGTCCTATAAGGCGTTCAGTAAGCTGTCCCCGTTCAATATCAATCTTCGCTATGCAGTCGCAAACAGCTGAGCAACGTCCCTTTTCAGCCAAACCTGCAGTGCAAATGCCACATCCATCATCAATGAATAGGTCCCATTCTTTAAATCGTAATTCATCTTCAGTCAGGATGTGTCATACTGCTAGTCTGAGCACAGCACACTCTTCAGGGGTAAGTTCATAAAAATATCACAATGTGTTTTATTTATCTAAAAAGTACAGTACTGCTTGGCATAATGCTGCTTCAGTAACATTTTGAATGCCTTATGTGGTAGCACATTACTGTTGTCATCTCATTGTATAAGAGTAGATTTCCTAATGAATTACTAGTTTTCTTGATATTGTGCCAGAAGGCTTGAGGTACTGCAGTAGCTAATGTTTTAATAGAATCTCAAGAGTATTGAACTCCTACACCTTTATGCTTTGTTTAAAGTTAGTCTTTTCTGTGACCCTTTTGTGTTTCCAGTGCATCCATTAGATTGCAGCCCCACAAAACACAATTTATAGGAAAGAATGTCTTAGTCTGCCCACATGATCATGAATCCTGAGCTCCAACCACCCTTCCTGCATTATGTGTAAAAGACTTAAGGCTTTTCTCTTCTCCAGGACTGTCTGTATGAATGATTTGGGAATTATTGATAAACCCACTATAGGGGTTTATCTAAGGATTTTTACACTGATGCTGGTGTTTCAACATCAGTGTAAATCCCTTGTGTAGATAAGTTGAATTAGAATAAAGCAGAGCTTGCATTAGTAAGACTTTGCATGTCTCTTGTTGTGGGGAAGATACAGCCTTATACATAGAGAAACCTATCTTTGTGTAAAAACCTAGCTTGACAAGGTAAAGCTAGTTTTGAACTCAGTGGAGCTAGCTGAGATAAAATCTATGATATCTACTCCTGGGATTTACCTCAACCAGCTATATAACATTAAAGACTACAGGATCTTGTCTGTTAGGATTTACATTGAGAGAACTAATTTTAGTTAGCTGCCTTAGTATAAAAATGCACTTTTCTCTCCAAAAGACGACAAAATGTTACCCCATTTTGAAATCTGTCCCTTAGGCTGTGTCCACACTCAGGGTTTTTTTCGAAAAAAAGTAGCCTTTTTTTGAAAAAACTTCACCTGCGTCTAGACTGCAGCCGTGTTCTTTCGAAATTAAATCGAAATAACGCGGCTTTTCTTTCGATGGGGGTAAACCTAATTAAGGAAGAACGCCTTTTTTCGAAAAAGCAGCTTGCTTTTTCGAAAGTTCCGCTTGCAGTCTAGACGCTCTTTCGAAAGAGGCTTGCAGTCTAGACATAGCCTAAGAGTCTGTCATAGTATTCCATTGAAAATTAGCTACTGTATTTCAAATGGAATGTCAAATTTATAGCATATTTTGCTCTGTCAAACAAATTTACTTTCAAACTTCAATTACATTGCATTAGACTAGTACTAGTTAATAATTATATATGTTAATGTACATATGCAGTGTGTATGTGTATTATGTATGTATAATGTGCACATTCTTTTTAAATATTTATTCTGGAAATAAATATTTTCATTATGGAACTATTTTTCACATGAAAGATAACATGTGAAATCACTAATTGTACTAAATTAATTCCATATCAAATTTTGATTGAGTCTTTGCTTCAACAGAGAACAAAAGAACAAGAAGAAGCATTGACAAGAGACACACTGCTAATTTTCAATGAGATGAGGATCAAGTTTCCAGGAAAAACAGATGAAGAGGCAGAATTAATAATAGAAAATGTAAGTATTTATTAGTCAGTCGCGGCTTCTTGCGCAAGTAATATGCAAATGAGGCTAAGCATGGAATATCGCTGAGCCTCATTTGCATACCGAATGAGCCACCATTTTTTCCAGAAGAGGCTCTTGCACAAGAAGGAGCGTCTACACTGCCCCTTCTTGCGCAAGAAAAACTCTTGCCCAATGCTATTCCTCCTCTCAAGTAACAGGTGTAAAATAAATAATCCAAAAGCTCAGAGTTCTACATTCTACCTGATCTTACAAGAACAATTCTGAAATCATTCTTAGGACTTTATAAAGTGTGGCCAACATTGATAAGTAGGAAGATTGAATAACTTAAGTTTATAATTAGGGAGGCTTGTCCTGTTAAAGTTCAAACTTAAGTTACAAAAAAGAATTACAATAAATTAAGTTACGTTTCATAGAATGTGAATACAGATTGTGACAGGTTTAAATTATCCCTGAATAGGCATGCTAAAGAACTCAGAAAGGCATGCAGTAAGGTGAAGTGGAAGCCTGAGTACAAGTGCCAGGAATATCATTTACATTCCTCCTTGGCTACATCTAGATTGCATCCCTTTTCCGAAAAAGGGATGCAAATTAGACATATCGCAATTGCTAATGAAGCAGGGATTTAAATCTCCCCCGCTTCATTAGCATAAAAGTGGCTGCTGCTTTTTTTTTTCGGCACGGAGCTTTGCTGGAAAAAAGCGCCAGTCTAAATGTGGACCTTTCGGAAAATAAAGCCTTTTCCGAAAGATCCCTTATCCCTCTTAAAATAAGGGATCTTTCGGAAAAGGCTTTATTTTCCGAAAGGTCCACATCTAGACTGACGCTTTTTTCCAGCAAAGCTCCGTGCCGAAAAAAAAAAGCAGCAGCCACTTTTATGCTAATGAAGCGGGGGAGATTTAAATCCCTGCTTCATTAGCAATTGCGATTTTACCAGCTTGACTTTTCCTTTTATCCAACATTCTTCTGAGCCCTAGGGGTTGTCTTGAAACAAAGAATATGAAAGGAGTTAGTATTAGTCTCTTATTCCTCTGTGTTTGATGCTACATGGTAAAGGGGAATCTTAAAAGAAAATATTAAATATGGAGAGATGCTGGGAAAGATTAAGGGCAGATTGGAAAAATACTGAATTTTTTAAAGAGCAAAGAAAAAAATCAGTTTAAGAAAGAAATAGCGAAGCTGTGTTATGCTCTGTCTGGCAGAGATGTAACATATACATGTTGATATGTCTCAGATTAAACCCAATATATCCTTATTCAGTCAGGATTCTGCTTGCAGAGGCTCTGAGCAGCTTTCATTGTTACTGTAGGAGCTGCATAGGTAAAAATGTATGCAAAACTCTTCTGACTCACTGTCCATTTGGAAGTGTCCACTGCCTTCTGGGCCATACACACCCTCAAAGACCATTGATACAGGCTTCCTATACTAATCCAGCCTCTTAGGGCAAAGATTCTTCAAACTTACATATCAGAGATAGTTGAGACTTTAAAAACTTTTCTGGTGGCAATTTTTAAAGTTGCCAGTTTTCCTTCTGAAAAACAAAACCTTTCCAAATTTTGGAATTTTGAACAGAATATAAATTGTTTTAAGATGCTTTACTAGCTATAGCTTTAGGACTTAATTTCTGCATGTGATCCAAAAGCACTGACATGCGACAATCCTTGGTCAGTTTGTGGGCCATCTGAAAAAACAAAATTCCCTGCTGTGTGGGGCCTCACCTAATTCTTGATCACTGAAAACTGCAAGGCCTGTTAAAGGCACTCCTCATCATCTCCCTCATTTGTGAGCTCCTCTTGCTCCTAGTTGCTATTTGTGAGTATGCAAATACTCAGTTTGATGGGCTTCTCTCTTCTTAGGTAAGTGATGGGAGGAGGCGGAGAGCCTGAGCTACACTGTTGCTTTAAACCACCTTTATTGACTGCATACAGGGAATAATCTGCCTTCTACATTAAGTGAATCCCTAAAACATGATTGCTGCATGCCTGGTGTCTAATACATCAGCCAATTTCCCAGGAGTAAAGTCAGATTCTGCCCAGTGTAAGTGGCAATCCCATGTAAAATTTAGTAATTTAGAACCCTGAGTCCCATTGAAAGTCAATGGGATTTAGGCTCCTAAGTGACTTAAGTACTTTTGAAATGGGGGCTCAGGCTCCTAAATTTTTCAAAATTTTACCTGTAAATGCCAAAAATCAGCATTTTAAATAGTCATCTAACAAAGGCAATGTATTTCCTTACACATAAATGGGTGTATTTTCCATGTTTGTATAGCCAAGGAGGTCCTATTGCATACGTGAGACATCAGCCTCTTCAGATTAGTGCATGGGAACAGCCTACCTATCTTAACACAGAAGTTTCTGATACATCTCTGCAGCCCTCACTTAGGGTACGTCTAGACTACGTGCCTCTGGCGACAGAGGTATATAGATTAGGCTACCAAGCATAGGAAAATGAAGTGGTGATTTAAATAATCGCCGCTTCATTTATTTTCCTATGCCTGGTACCCTAATCTACATGCCTCTGTCGCCAAAGGCATGTAGTCTAGACGTACCCTTATAGTCAGAAGAGCTGTTTTACTAAACAGAGTTGCTCCAAAGTGTCACAGAGAGGCTATATTCTTATTCAATCTTTCATGGTTTGGTTGGAATGGTATTTATAATTTTACTAATAGAAGCAAAGTTTGAAATTTTAACAGCAGTTTTAATCAAGTCTTCTAGGATTTTTCCTATCTGTTTTTCAAAAATATGCCATGCCACTAGTGGGAATATGCAGTAATAAAGCATGTGTTATTGCTTGAGAAAAAATTAGTGCTGGCCAGAAAACTGAACTTTGTTTCCACATTGAATGCTGACATGTAGGTCCAGCATCTTATCTACTCCTAAATTTCCACTGAACAGCTGATTGAGCCAATGCTAATCTGGTCCTTTTGGTGCCAGAGAAGCACACAAGCTGTTTTTCTACTCCTCTCCCTTCCCCATCTATGCACTGCCCGGTACAACAGATCAGATCTGATTATACAATATGGCCTTGGGCCTTTAGTTTTCCCTTCTAGTGGCATGCTGCTTATCTCTACCACCTCCTCCCTCACATTTGCATAAGTGGGTCATAGGCTTGGTCCTACCCCAAACATTCACATACAGGACGCATTTGGCCTGATCCTATTGGATCAGACTCCCTCTTCATCCCTTGAGGGTGCTTCTGCTCATGCTGGGGTCTGTGCTATCTTGTGGTTTCCCCTTTTGGGACTGCTTACAACCAGGGCAGCTCTCAGTTTGCTGCCAACATCCTGGTTCCTAGCCCTGTATTTGCCCTCTTCAATCTAGATTTCCAGGACTTCTTAGGAAGTGAAGATAGCTATGGGGAAAGCCCAGTGAAGAAAAATCAGGGAAGGTTTATGTCTACACTCACAGCTTCTTGCATGAGATATATGCAAATGAGGCTAAGCATGGAATAGTGCCAAGCCTCATTTGCATATCTAATGAGCCACCATTTTTGAAGAGGCTCTTGCGCCAGAAGGAGCGGTCTACATTGCCCCTTCTCTCGGAAGAAAAGCCCTCTTGCACAATGCAGTTATTCCTGAAAATAATTGGCATAACCACATTGCGCAAGAGGGTTTTTCCTTGCGCGAGAAGGGGCAGTGTAGATTGCTCCATCTGGCGCAAAAGCCTCTTCTGCAAAAGTGGTAGCTTATTAGGTATGCAAATGAGGCAGTGATATTCCACACAACCTCATTTGCATATTTCTCACACAAGAAGCCGGGAGTGTAGACATAGCCTGAGTGCATTGATCTTTGCCTGGGGTTTATTACCCTCCCCTAACGTGATGGAATAGAGTAGGCCCTCCGTCTCAGGAAAGTCACTGCTTGGGGGAACTAATCTTGCAGTCACATTGGTAGTGTTACCCTGGAGCTTAATCTGTAGTGGAATTGTGGGGTAGAAATTGACTACGCCCGGGCCATGCATTGCCCGGCTTGCTCGGCCCCACTGCTTTGCAGTGATGGGTTTGATCAGAGAGATCCCCTTGCTCGGCCCCACTGAGTTGCAGTGATGGGTTTGATCAGAGAGATCCCCTTAAGACTGTTACATGATGTGCGGAATTACCACTGAGCCCGCTTAGCTGCTCTGTGGAGCACCACCCTTTCCTACTGAGCCAGACCCTCCACTGATAGAGTAGTTGGTCACAGCCCTGAGAGCACCACCGACATGGCGATTAGCTCAGCTCTGGGAAGGTTCAGTTAAAGGAATGTGACAGAGCCTGCAGGTGCACTGCCCCAGTGGGACCAGAACCTTAGATAAATCTATCTTATTCTGTATAAAAGAGTTATACAGAATGAGCTCATAAATTGTTCACCCCCCTTCATCACAGAGATATGCATAACTGTTGTGTCCCTTTCCCCCCTCCCCCAATAATTATTTACAGTGAGTTAAAAACAAGTGACTTTATTAAGTACTAAAAGACTGACCCAGAGTTGCCCATGTCCTTCAGGGCAGGTAGTGTGTGGAGGGTGCAGAAATCAGGACCGGGCCTTGGAGTGAGGAAGGGGTAAGGGCAGGGGCTTGAGGAGGGGTGCATGTAGAGAGACTCTCTTCCCCCCACTCCAGGCCTTGTGTTTCCCCCCAGCTGCCAGGGGACCTCTGTCTCTCCACTCACATCCCAAGGACTAGGAGGGGGAAAAAGGCCTTAAGGTAGGGGAAGCTACTTACCCAGTCTGGCATCAGGCAAGATGGCAGGCCGCAGCCTGGCTGGCCACACTCTTGATGGTGTAATGGCAGTGTAACTCTCCCCTGCAATCACTACCCTCAGTATCATGCCACCCCCCCTCACTCTATTTCCATGTTATGGAAAATGCCCCCCCCGTTTTCCATAACATGGAAATAGTCTCATTACCTGCACTTCCCATTTTTCTGGCACAACCAAACCTGACCTTGCTTTAAGTTAGTATAAGAGGAAGTTGCATACCAAATTTGGTAGTCATACTTTTTTAGAAGTTCCTGAAC